AGGACATTTCTGTGGGATCCAGGCCGTTAGCTGGATTCCTTGGTCTTAGTAGGTGGACAGACTTCCTGCACTCTTTTGTGTATCATTCTTTGGGTGACTATTATAAGTAATTTTATAAAATATGTGTCCTGTATTATCTTGTGTTCCCTTGCAAAAATAAGCTCCAAACCAACACAACTGGTTTTGAATCTGAAGAACTCTAATAGGATTTATACCTATATGTCAAAGAGGCTGGGAAATGTGATATTTGAGGAAGAACAGATATAAGGAGACAATGTCAGAATGTAACACCTGTCAGCCCTTTCTCTGTTGCAGGAAGTAGTCTTCAAAGGTTGAGGACCAATTACCTGGAAACTAAACATCTTTGAAAAGAAATTCTGAATACAAAAGACATCATTATTATCCTTCTTGATCACCAATCTTCTATTAACATATGCAATTTGTTTTTGAAATTATATTTATATTATCTCCTTGGAAATTGGTAAATTTTCTCTTGGGGAGAAAAAAGCATATGCTTTCAGCAACCAGTGGTATGCCAGTATGTAGTTTTCCAAACTCCTCAACTTCAAAATAGCTGGTATGTCTTTCCCTTTTTCTCTCATGTTCATTTAGAAACATTTGTAGATAGTTATCATGTTATTTATATGATGTTATCATGATATACAGTATCTAGTTTTAACTAGATCATAGACATATCACAAGTTGAAAGGTGGAGAGCCAGCTCATTCTGGGTCTCACTAGTAGTTCAGGCTGGCCTCAAATTTGCAGTGATCCTACAGCCTCAGCCTCTCAAGTCCTAGGATTACAGGCATGCACTACCACATCTGGCTCCAACTCATTTTAACAGCTGTGCACTACTTCTGAGCACAGCTGTTCTAAAACTGATACACCATTCCTTTTTTGTGTACTTTCCATTTCCACTTTTCTATTCTGACAGTCCATATTAAATTTCTTGTACTGATGGTCTTAAATCTTGGTACTTTCAGTGCTATGTGATAATTTTCAAAGGAGGAGTTTTTTAAAGGGTTATAAAGAGTACTTTTCAAATTTTAATTGATATTACCCGCTTACCTTTTAAAAGACTGAAACAATCCACATTCCTACCAGTGAACAAGTTTTCATTTATCTTAATTTTTGCCAGCACTGTAATTGCTATGTTAAATTTTATAAATGGTACTCTGCTGCATCTCACTGATCACTTTGATCCTCTTTCATATGCTTATGATATTCAGTAATGATTCAAAATACACTGAATCAGATCACTTGAGTTTTGAGTCATAGCTCTATCACCCATTGTGTGACGTGGGCATGTTACTTTATCCCTCTGAGCATGACTTATTAGCTGAAAAACATGTATTATTCACAGCATAGGGTAAACTGTGAGGATTAAGTGAGATAATACTTATAAAGTGCCTGAAACAATGCCTAGCACAAAGGACTGAAAAAATGGTTGGAAATTAGTTATAAGCCATATAACTATGTTTCAATTGCTATGTTGCATATACCATAAACCAGCCTAGTGACACTGTAATGTCTTAAATTTGTGTAGTACTCTTAATGAGGTTCACACAACACCAAATTTCCTAACAATGCATTTCTTAAGATGTATTCTTGAATATTACTAGTGGTAGGACCCTTTCTGTGTATTAGGGATAATAATCCCAACATGTCAGTTATGTCAGGAACATTTCCCCTATTACATCTTTTAGATACTTGTCTTAAGAGAGACAAATGTCCGTAATTTCCTTTATGGCTTCTGGGTTCTGTTTATGATGGTATCTCTTAAAATTATAGCCTCCTAAATTCTTCCAATTTTTCATTTTAACATTTAAATCTAGGATTTATACTACTAGGTTTTATTTTTGTATATACTGTGAAGTAGGGATCTGATTGCCTTCTAGACATTACTATAGCTCTTTATATTAATAAACATATCAACTTAGAAGAAAGTCCATGGTAAGAGATATGAAAGAAAATGTATTAGGTTGTTCACAATTACCAGTGAGTTTCAATTTGTTGTTGTTGAGACAGGATTTCACTATGTAGTTTAGGCTGGCTTTGAACTCACAGCGATCCTCCTGCCTCAGCCTCTGGAGTGCTGGGATTACAGGTGTGTGCCACCACACCCAGAAAGTTTCAATTTTTTTAAAAAGGTATTTCCTTCTAACCTCTTAAAAAAATTGGAACCCTTTTAAAAATGAAATATAGAAAGTTCGAACATCCAAAGTTGAGCTGTTCCTGGAGTGTCAAAGATGAAGCTTAAAGAGTAAGATAGTAAAGATCCTTGAAAACCAGAAGAAGTGTTATTCCAAAATGATGAACTATTAAAAGGTTTTAAGCAAAGAAGTGGCCAGATTTGTGTGTCAAAGACTATTCTAGCTGCTTTGTAGAAAAGATTTTCCAGGGCATTAGAGGCAATGAGATCACTAGAAAGGCATTAGACAGTACTAGCAAGAGTTAACGGTCCCCTGGACAAGTATGACTGAAGAGAGTTTTGAGATGTATTTACATCATTTATGATTTAATGATTAATAATGTCTGTGATGAAAGGAAGTGTCAAGAACTGTATTAGGTTTGGTTTGATAAACAGGGTAGAGGGGAAAGATACTAAAAGAGCAGATTTTTTAAAAAAGAAAAAGACGTTTGGGTCAGTGTTATTACTATGTTGTGATATGAGGTAGAGCCTATTGTATTTTTGCAACAGGTCACAAAGCTATAGTTGATACCTATCTCATTTTTCTTCAAGGGTTTTTGGCTAATGGAGTAACTCAAACTTCCACTTTTATTTGAGGTTTGAGATTTTCCAAGTTTTCTGAATCCTCCCAAGACATCAAAACTCTGTAAGCCAGCATCTCTTCTGATTAAATGCTTTCTCACAAGAGATGTTAATAATGCTACAAATTCAACTGGCATTATAATTTTAGCAATTTGGGGAATCCACCTCTATTTGCTATTTTGAACTTAATGACAGAAAAAATTATTTACCCTGGGCACAGAAAGGCTCTGGATTTTATTCTGGGCTTAAAGGTGAGTTTCTGGGTTTCAGCTTGTCTTCTAAGTTAGCCAATGAAATCTAAGTAACTATTCCTGTCCATGGTTTTGGCCATCTTGGTTCACTCTACCTTATCCTGTCCACTTACGTTCTAAACATTTTGCCCCCAACAGGTATATGAACTCAAATAAGGTGGCTATTATTACTAGCTGTTTTGCTGCTACTACCCCTTCCCTCACTTGAGACACAGGACAAGTTACCCTTAATTCAGACTCAGTGCAGTAATTTCTGAAACTTTCTATGTTCTTAAGAGGCTGAAGCCTACCATTTTATTCTCTCGTAGCAATTTCTTTAAACTGTTGAGTCATCTGATTACAAGTAGTAACAATTCATTTTGGCTGACAAAAGGGGGACTTACAAATTGTAAGGAAGATATACCGTACAAGTGAAGGAAAATCTGGATAATCAGGCCTTGCTTGAGAACAGGAGTAAGGATTATTTGATGGTCTTGAATTCATGCATATACTGCATGGTTTTCTTTGAGACACTACCATCAGAGTCACTCAACTTCTATCACTTTGTGCTATTTCTGTCAGGATCCAAAGTCCTGGTGGAAGGGCAATTTTGCCAAGACAGCTTGGATGACTCAAGCTTTAGCCAGAGAATATGAATATGAGGCTTGAGTACTATTAATTTATCATTTTTTTTCCTTTCAGTACTGGGAATCGAACTCATGACCTTGCGCTTGCCACGCAGGCGCTGTGCCGCTGAGCTAAATGCCCAGCCTGAGTACTGTTAATTTATAGTTCCATTAAAACCACATAAAATAGTTAGTAGTAGCTTTCCAAAGGAAGACAAGGGATCTATCACTAAAAAAGAGACATGTTTGGGGGCAATCCAAAGCAACATGTGCCTATTATACCAACATTTTAAGTGTTAGGAAGTTGGAAAGAACCTGCACTGGAGCAACAGCCAGGAAATCAGGAAATGTAAAATGATACAGTAGTTAAAAGGGAAGAACGTTTTAAGACGCTGATGAGAGTAGTCTGTGATGTTCAAAGTTCAGATAAGATGCATATTAACAGATTTAGCACTCAAAAGGTCACTGACCTTGAGCGCAGTTGACATCAGAGTAACTCAGGAATTAAAAACAAGTGACTTATTTTTTTCTATTGTAAACAAGGCAATAGGGGCCTTAATAGATTAACATCATTTGAGAACATGAATAATTTTATGAATTCTCAAAATACAAATCCTTAACAACCCAAGTATAGGCCTTTGAAAGCTATGTTTTAAAAAATTAAGGACCAACTACTGAGCTCTGAGTTTCTCAAGGTACAGCAGTCTCTCAGCTTGGACAAATATAAACAATATTTGCTAGCATAAAGATGGGTATTTTATAATCATCTGACAAAATAAGCTCAGTATTTAGTAACATGCCAAGGTCAAACAGTAAGCATTAATTTATTTTAAAAATTCTTTATTTTTTAAAATAAAGTTTAAAAGTAACGTGGTAGTGTAAAATATCCAAATACAGAACTGTGTAAATTTGAGGCTCATGTAATCTACACTGTTCAAAGCCATTAACAGACTTTTCTATGCATTTACACACATAAGTACACATATTTTTAAATGTGTTTACATGGTATACTTTTCTATCCATAGCTTATTTCACTTAATATATCATGGCCATGTTTCCATGTCCATTCACAATGAATGTACCTTGTTTAATAGATATGTAGACTTTCTTATATGGCTGGACTGTATCTTATTTAGCCAGTCCTTTACTGATCAACATTTGCATTTTCTTCTATTATTTTCTACCATGTTACTTCTGCAGCAACTCAAATATTCTCTCAGTTGTTTCATTTTGTCTTTGACTTTAAAAAACAATTTCAGTGTGACCATGACCTTAGTTTTATGAATACTTGGACCTGTCAAATTTCAGTATTTGCAGATACTATATATATTAGGATTCAATTTCAAGTAATAGAAACTCAACTCAAAGTAACTTAAACAAAAAGTGTATTTATTGTTTCACATAACTGAAAAGTCCAAGGGATATACTAGCTTCAGGCACAGCTGGATCCAGGAGCAAAAATGCTGTCATCAGGACTCGAGTCTTTCCATCTTTTGGCTCTGCTTTCCTTTGCACTGGCTTCATTCTCTGACTGGCTCATTCAATGTGGTAGACCCTGTTGGTTTGAATTTTTAATCCTACAAACTAAAGCACCTCAGTAAAGAGAATTTGTTCTCCTCCATTACTCAGTAAAATTCAGAGAAATGAGTTATCACTGGACCAACTTGTAAATCATATGAATACTCTAGAAAGAATTGGTATGGTTAAGGAGATGGCCTCTGCTGACTGATGAGGTCTGAGTGATATACGTCTACTCACAGAGCCCAAGGTTGGGTCAGACTGTCCAAACCACATCAACTGAAAATAGGAAGTGATGGTTCCAGGAAATATCAGGGAGTTGTTAAAATGAAATGGAATGGATGCTGGGCAATCAAAAACAATTTATGTCCAGAATAAACCAGAGGTTGAAAAAGATTTAACTTCTGCTCATAAAGGTGAATGTAGTTACAGCTGGCTCCTCAGTAATGGAATTATTCTAAAAATAGCCATGAGTGTAAATTTGTCTTGTCTTTAGGAAGCCTATAGTCCATTTGAGTGGAATAATCATATCCAGTAGGATACTTTGGATGATACTATAGAATTTCAATGCATGCAAACTCAAGTTTTAGGTTTTTTCCAGAGCCCCACCATCTTGGGTGACAAGCAGCAGGACCACTAGCCTCCCACTGGCAAACACAGTTCGGTGAGGCTATTTGCGTCAGTGGTAATTTAAGTTCAGTGAAAAACTTTTCTAATATCCCTTTAAGTCTTGCAAAAGTTGAAACAAAACATTTCTGTTAGTACTGATAAATCAAGACTCATTGTGTGTTACTGCAGAAGAGAGAAATGGACTCTATTTTCAATCTGTTGTACTCTTTGCAGATGTGCAGAGATCCCAGGTGCTTTACATGAGCAAACATAGTGTCTTACTCTCCATTTAAAAAAAATAAAAAAGCTGTTAGTCAAGGTGTGTGAAACTGGTACTTTCTGTTGTGAACATTAAGTCTTGTGAGGTACAAGCTAATTTCTATTTAGAAATCCTTGGTGGAATTCGGCACAAGTTAAGCTGAAACTGGTTGTAGTCTTCTCAAGGTCAACAGTTGATTGCAGCAAGTCCAACAAGGCAGTTAATAGCTGAAACAGGTAAACTGACAGAGTAACTTCAGCAGGGCCAGTCAAACCAATAACCAGGATATCACCTGGAAGAACAGGCAGATTAATAAATGAATCCAGAAATTAGTTTTTGCCCTGGGTACTTCAGTTACTTCACAGGGCTTATGCCAGATATAATTTTCTGATTTCAAAGGGCAAGTCAGATATAGCGGCTTTTTTTCCCTGCTCATCTGCCCAAGAACTACCATCTCAGGAGAAAGCCATATCCTTAGTCCAGACTTGAGGTTCTGTTTAGCAGTCTATCCTATATCTGGGAGTAAAAGGGTGGTAGAGTCAGGTTTGTTGAAGTTGGCCCTACTTTCTTTGGTTATCAAATCTTCATCTTCTGTAACTTAGCACATCTCTGAGAATTCTTATAGCCAAGTCATAGTTTCAGATTGGCTGAATGGCACACTGAAAGACTTGGATAAAATCTGAGGCATGGAGACAGTAGGCAGTCTCCTAGCTTTAAGTTTTAGGCTTTTTCCAATCACCAATTTTTTTTTTTAAGTGTACATAAGACTCTTGAACAGATGATTACTCTCATCTTAACTGAGTATAGGAAGATCAGAAGGAATGACTGGCAGTGTAGGTCAACATCTTTTTTCTGCAAGGTACACACAGGAAAAAGCAGAGAGAAAAAAAAAATCTGACAATTGTAAGTAGAAATGTGAGCTTGCAGATAATTTCTTCTTTATGCATTATAGTTGTATATCCAAGCAAAACAGTCATCCAGATAGTAATTTGCTGAGGTTGAGCAGTCAAGAGCAACTGGACCTAAGCCTTGTTTGATGGTATGTAGACCAAGTCATGTGATCAGATTAGAGAACAAGGGAAAGGATATGAAGAAACCATTTCCAACATTTAACCAGTGCATTCATAAGAGCAGCTGAAGATGACTGGCCCTTCAATTAACTATGAAGTAAAGGAATGAGATTTTCTTAGGATATAAATTGGCATAGCCCTGGAATATTCCTGTCTATAAATCAGGAATTAAAGTCTTCCTACAGAAACAAATTGTCTTAATGCCTAAGAGTATCTCATAGCAAGAAATGAAGCCAATCACACTGAATCAATGTAAATGACAGTCCTGAGACAGATGTCATTCCATTCAAACATCTACAAGGACAGCTCTTCAGTCTATTGGTGAAATCCTTAGCTGCCATCTTTAGTTTTTTGTTTTTTTTTGTTAGTCTACATTTGCAGCAAAATATAGACAATACATTTGAAGTCACCATCAGGTCACCATATCTTGGTCAAAGGGCCTGGGTCCAACTATCCCTACCATATGATGGTATCAGGTATCAAGTCATCTTAGAAGAGTATCTTTTACTGGCTAGAAGAAATTTTTCCCAATGACTCTATTTGATGTCACACATATGAGAAAGGATGCTCAAAAACTGTCTTTAAGATCAGCTGTTACACGTAAAGATGAGTAGTCAGTATTTACAGAGAATCAGTAGATAAGCCAATGAAGAAATTGTTTTGGGTTTTTATTTTTAAAGGTTAAGTCATTGATCCTCAAAACAGAAAAATGAATAAAAGCCAAGGAGGAACGTAACCTAGTGTTAACCAGGCTGAGTCACATAGTGATTTGCAGTTTAAGATGAAGAATGACAACCAGGTACTTTGTCCCTTTAGAAAATGTTAGCATCTAAATTCTGCTTTTGTAGTTAATGACTGTTTCTTGACACGAAATAGAGTACCATGGCTAATGATGAAAGGTCTAATGTAGAAGTTGGTCTACGATGGCCACAGTGAGGCATCAGTTTCCAGCTTGCAGGCAATTCACGTATCCAAAAAGAGTTCAAGACTTCAGTCATGTACTTCAAGTACCACGAGTGTATTTCATATTTGTGGATGCTGCTTAGTAGGGTTTGTTAGTGTAGAGTGCATATGAATTACTGACTATATCCAATTCCAGGAATCACTGTAAGTTCATCTGGATTACAGGGCTAGTGAGAAAGGTTCATTTGCCACCACTTTCAGTCCATATGAACATTTTGGGGGCCAAAGGCATGCCCATTATATACTTTTTAAAGTCTGTACACAGTAAATATTCCTAAGAATGTTCAGCATCAACTGATTATGGACTATAATAAGTGGAGATACAGAAAAGATCAGAGAGCCATTCAGATCAAACATGTTGTATAGGGCAGTGGTTTTCAAACTGTTCAGCAGTTCTACATGTTGTAAAGAAGTCCCTTTAGGTGTCAGCATGGTGGTAAAGGAAGATGCTTGTGGCAGGCTGCAGACCCCCACTCTTGCTTCACTTCATCCAGAGCAGCTTCACTTTTACTCTGGGCTTCCACATAGCTTTCATTCAAATGGCTTCATGGCCACAAAGCCTTTGGAAAACAAATAATCTAAGAATAAGGTGTTCACAAAATGCTGAAATAGAAAAAATAGGTCACAGAAACCAGAAATTGGGTGAGCAAAGCCTGTGGTAAAATAAGGTGTTTTTCTATTCATTCTTTCCCTAAGGTAGACTATATTACAGGGTAATGGAGCTAAAACTCAAGTCTAGTATAAATTTCAATTGCTTGAAGTTGAGTTTATAAATAAGAATGCCAGAGGACAAGACTATTGGTTTTAAGTTGCAATAGCTCTAAGGCTTTTGCATATAGTTGCAAAAAAAACGTATCATTTCTTTGTAAACATTATTTCAAGAAGTCCATGGCTAGGTGACTTCTCTTAAGCAGTAAGATCTCAATGGACCATAACTCAAATTCTAAAGAAAGTATTTCCTCTTTATCCTTCCCTTCTACTTCCCTTCCCAATGTCCTTACCCACCTAAGATGCAATGCCTTAAAAAAACGTTTTATAGCGCAATTCTAAGAAATATACTGCTAAATGTTATGGAACTCACCCTTTGGGGAGGGGGCAGAATTAACATTCTCCCATTATCCTCCCCATATAGTTCCGTATTTATTCTAGAAGCTCCTTTGATTTAAAAAAAACTTAAAGTAATAATCAAGATGCAGGACTCTCAGATGATAGGGATGAATGAGTTCAAGCAGTTAAGGTCAAGGTATGAAAAAGGCAGGTTTCAAAGACACTGTATTATGGGGTTTCCAGGCCAATATGTTGATAATCAGGAAACCCTAGTTATATCATTCTAGCTTCCCATTCTATTAAAAGGAATGTTACCAAAAATTACATTGTCTTTACATTAGGACACAACAGGCTAAGATAAAGAGGTCTTTGCTGCAAGTCTTTTGGAAACCTTTAATATATAACAATGCATTGTGGGCTAGTGAGAAGGGACACATCTTACAGTATTTTACCACCTTATGGGATAACAGAAACTCTCCACATATGACAGCTATACATTAAAAAAAATGGCTCATTTTGTGTAAATATTAGTTTGGGGGCAGAGGATTACAGGTAATCTCAGTATTTGTGAGTCTTAATTTTTTAAGAAAAATGTCTGTTAGGTCTTTCTTGGGCAAACCATGAAAATAGACAAAAGATCTAAAAGCAGCTTGTGTTTCATATTAGGTATCCTTATTGTCTGATGAATACCTGCCACTTTGGACAATTTATCATCATGAAGACCCTTTGCTCTCACACCATAGGGATGTTGCCATGGATTATATGAATTATATTTACAATATCCTGCCTAATAGGGGCACCAAACAAAGAAGTTGGAATCTTTTGGAGTTTCCAATTTCATTTTAACACTGTGGATAAAGGCTAAGTTAATGCCAAGGAAAATACTGGACCAGGAGTCAAAAGGCCTAGCCTCTCCCACTTTGTAGCTATGTTACCTTGGATAAGTAAGTCACTTAAATTTTTGTTCCCTCATTTCAAAAAGGAATGTTACTGTATTTTGATAAATGAGATAAACATAAGAAAAGTGCTTTGAAACTGTAAAGTGCTATATAAACAGAGGGAATTACCATATAGCTTTTATCTTGAAGTTATTAAGAGGCCTTTTCTGGAATCTGACTGGAGCCTTGCGAGATGCTGTTAGGTAAAGGGATTCCTTGGCAGAATTGCTTACATTTGTGTGAAAAGTTCTGGTTCCTGAGTAATCCCAAAGATGCCATGAGGAATTTACTGTGCCTTGGTTTTGATCCCAATGAGTCTCATTCAGTAGGCTACTACAGATTTTAAGTAGAAAAAGAACATGGTCCAGGGACCTTCATGGGATCCTAGACAGTTCATGAACTTTAATCATTTGAGATTGTAGGGTATGGTCCAATGCTGTTCTCAGAGAGATGTTTGTTGTCTTTCTTTGGACAGCGTTGATAATTAAAAATCCCTGGTCCAAGTTTATTACATGTCTCTGAAGACTTCAACTGAAGAAATGAAATGCACACTTATGGAATAAATTGGGCCTTTGTTGTAATAAAATAGCTCTAGCTATTTGGCTTGAGGACTCTGCACAATAAAGGGCTGTGCTGAATCTGGGCAGACCAGAATTGGAGTGGAGGTCAAGGCCACATCATCATGGTTGAACGCCTCTTGGCTCACAGTGGTCCACTGGAATGGTGTCTTCTTCAGTAGTAAGTTGGCAGAAATCACCATGAGCAAAAATCCAAGTATCAGATGTGTAGGCTGATGGACCAGCAGAAGGAAGGTGGTCAGAAGGTCCAGGTGAACACTCAGCAATCAGGAGGCACAGGACTAGAAGGGGGAGGGACAAAATAGGTAAGATAACAAATGCATGGAATTACAAACAGGATTCTAATACTGGGGTTGGTCTGCCATAAGCACATCAACTATCTCATAGGTACTAGTTCTTCATATGCCCGGGGTTAGAGGCTAGCAGATGATCAATGGGGAGGAAAATAAACCAAAAAGAAAAACAAAAAAGCCTGATTAATAGCTGATAATAACACAAGAATTGAGGGATGTACCAAAACAAGAACTAACCTAAGGCTCATATTTTTAGGTAGTAATTAGGCAGTTGGGCATTACTTGGTGGGGAGAAGAAAGTAGTTCCACAGGTGGCACAAAAAGAAGAGATTTTAAGTTCATATGCCAACTAGAAAGCAAGAGATACTGCTCTTCTTTTATCATTCCTCAAAATGTCTTACGAGTTTCATCGTTTAAAGTTGTCCTTTTAAACTCAGTATGAATTGTTTTGCTCAGTACTTTGTGTGTGGTAGGCACTTATAAACACTTGCTAAAATAAAAGTTGTGGTTTTACTTTATAAACTTCCATGTTGAGTAAGAGAGAATAAGGCTTCCCATCCTTAAGTATGTAACAGCCTATTCAATATATCATCTCTTCTTTATGTAATGGCTCCCTTGATCTTAAGTTTAGAATTAAAAAGTGAAACATGAAATAAACATTTTTAAAGTCATTTCACAGTGACTAAACATACACTAAGTGCTGGGAGATACTAAGTGATGACTGGCACAGCTCACTCTAAACTGATGTCTAATAGATGCTTCAACAGGGGTGGTGGTGTATGTGGGCATAAAACAAGGCCCTGTTTTTTTAAGAAGTTTCCTATCTAGCAAGAGAACAGATGCATGCAAATAACTACTTTACAAGATTTTGCAAAGAGAAAAAATACATAACATGTTAATATACTTAAAGAATATATTCTGGGAATGGGGCTGTAGCTCGGTGAAAGAGCGCTTGCCTAGTATGCGCAAGGTCCTGGGTTCAATTCCAACACCAGAAAAGACAAAACCAAAGAAAATACATTCTACCTAAAGTTAAGAGATTTATGGGTAGGAGAGCATCTGAGTTGGATACTGAGAATATGACAGATGAAGAACCAGAGAAGGGCATTTCCAGAGTAGTGAAGAGAGTATGGGAAATGCAGAAATGGTGGTAAGGCATTTTGGAAAATGGCAAGTACCATAATTGACTTTCGATGATGTTTGGTCAGTTTACTTTGACAGTCTGGGCAGAAACTCAGGTCTTCCGATTCCCAGTAACAGCACTGGTGGTAAAGCTTGCTCAGTTGTTGCCTCTTTTCTTACAACAAGATCAACAGTTCCAAAATGTAATTAAAAAAAAAAAAAGCGACCTCCAGTTTCTGCCACATCCTGACAAGCTCTTCTAGGTTGCAGATCCAGTTCTTGGAAATCTGGAGTCCATGGCTGCGGCTGCACTGAAAGGTAAATTCTTCGATGATCGCAGAACATTGTAGCAAAACCTTCTCAACCTCCAATCCTGGACATCTCATGTTCTGTCACAGAATTTCAAGCTTTGAGTTCCAGTTGCTTTTTTCCTTTTTCTGGAGAAAAGCCTCTTATCACCACAGTCTTAAGAGTCTTTTGAGGTACATCCAGATTTAATTACAAAAGAGCTAAAGAACACATTTTTCTCCAAAACAGTCATTTCTCTGGAAGTGAAACATTTGTCTCTGCCCTTTAGGTAAAGGGAATACGCAATTATTTCCCCAAACATTTGAATGAAATAGAACTGGTTAACATCTACTCAGACAAACTACACTTACTGTTTGTATTCACTTGCTTAGAGCTGTACCACTTGGTAAGCACCACTCCACAAAATGAAAATGTTTGAAATTCAATTGTTCAAACATTTTTATAGTGTTTACTGGACAATGGTCTGAAATTTGATAAAAGCAGCTGACAACAAAGAAACAAAAAAATGGCATTTTGGCCTTGTCAGTATCACAGTTGAAAGCAATTAGAATGCAAGGCAGACCAGGAAAAAGTTAGGGTTGGAATCATCTCCAAACCTACTGATTTTGAGGTTCAGTAGGTGTTCTAACAAAATTTCTGGGAGATTGTTAACCTTGAATTAATAAAGAAAAACCGTTAAACATCTTTAGGAATTCCATGTGTGGTTCAGCCTATTCCCATGAGCCCACTTGTTGAAAATTCACGTGCACCATTAATTAGCTAGGCTTGGCACCATCATTTAAAAATAAGCCTGTTCACCACCAACCACACAAACTAGGGAATACAAAACAATCAAGTAAAGGATGGCAACCATAGTCGTGGAAAATGATAAAAGTCAAAAAGGTAGTCAGGCACCAGTACAAGCAGCAGACAACGAAGAACTCCTGGGCCAAACACTGAATTCACTTCTTGGTATTACTGACTACATCTACTCCTAATTGTAGCTGCTTTATGGGTGCCACTGTACCATATGCATCAGCCGCCCTTCAGGCACCCCATGATGACAAGAAAGGGTTCAAAAGAGAGGCCAAGCAGGGGAGTATTGTTATCCCGAATATCCATTATGCATAGGAAACAGCTCACATATCCCAGGGACTCAAAAGGGGGCTTCAAATTGATTGTGAAGGGTCCCAAATGACATCTAGGCCTCAGTTTCCTCTCTGTGGTATAAAAAAACTGTCATCAACTCTTCTGGGTCACAGTCCCCTTTAGAAACTTGCTAGCAATGGCACACCAGTCGCTTAATATGCATATCCCCACAAATTTCTACGTACAATTCAGGGACTTTGCGGATCTCCAACTCCAATCCAAGGTTCCTAGGTTCCAAATCTGAGAGATCTGGCAACTGATGTTTTCTAGCAACTCAATAACCATTACAAACGATACTCATCCTTTATGAATACAGCACTTTGCAGTTTACAAAGCGATTTCAATCCCAAACACAGGCAGAGGAGGAAACTGAGGCGCAGACAAATTAGAGTGACTTGCCTAAGGTCAGTCGGCCAGCTGGTGGCTAGGCCCGGAAACAAACCCAGCTCTTCCGACTCCGGGAGCTCAGATCCCCACCCCGGAGCTGCTGCCAGAGCTCCGGACCCTCTCTAAGGCGGCATAAGGAGGAAAAGGCAAAGCAGAAAGCCCACCACCAACCATCCTCCAGCCCCTTCCTGCCCCCCCAACTGGGTCCTTGGAGGCCCCGAAGGGTTGCGCCAGGCCTCCAGGCCGGCCCCGGCCCCGGCCCCGGCCTCCCCCGCCTCCCCGGCCGCGCCAAATCCCGCCGCTGCCGCCGCCTCCCCGGGAGCGGGGCGGAGCAGCTGCCCGCCGCCGCCGACCACCCGGACGACTCCTCGTCGAATCGCAAACGCATAGGCCGCCGCCCGAGTTCTGCGTACGAGAAGAAAGACGCGGCGCGAGCGCCAACGGCCACCGGGCGCTCGCCGCGGCGGCCGGGCCTGCGCCCCAAGAGCTGGATGCCAGAGCAGGAGAAAGAGCCGCCAACCGATCGCTCGATCGACCGCGCGCCCGCTCCTTCGCCCTACCAGACCGGGGAGGGGGGGAGGGCGCGCCAGGGCTTCTTCGAGTTAGGGGCCTGACTCCCCGGCGACGAGACAAGATGGCTCCTCCAGTCCGCGCTGCAGCTACCGTCCCGGCTGCGTCGCTCGGCCCGCCCCCGGTACTGTTTCTTTAAATGGCGGAGAGGGTCAGGAAGGCCGGAAGAGAGGTGCGTGCTCTCACGTGATAAGGGTGGGACCGGCCAACTAAGATCCGGTCACGTGGGTATGAGCAGCCCTCCAGTCGGAAGGCGGAGTTTCAGGGCGGGGGCGGGAGAACTTGAGGGTTTGTGATTGGCTGAACGAGCCTTGGAGGCCTCGGGGGCTTGGGGCGTCGGGTAGTGAGCGAGGTGGCCTGGGCGGTGTGCGCCAGCGGAGACAAAGCGGAGGCATTGGTTTTGTAGCAGCGGCAGCGGCAGAGAAGCTCTAAACACCGAATTTCTTGTCGCGGAGTCCTGTCATCCTATTCAGCGCGGCGCGCGGGCGGCGGCGGCGGAGGCGGCACCGGCGGCGGGAAGGCGTCTGTCGGGGCCATGGGTGGGGGCGTGGGACCCTCGAGTTCCGGGGGCGGCCCCAGCGGCAGCGGCGGAGGAGGCAGCGGCGGCCCCGGCGCGGGCACTAGCTTCCCGCCGCCTGGAGTGAAGCTGGGCCGTGAGTATGAAGGGTGCCCGGTTGGGGTGGTGATCTGGGTTTCGCAAGGTCCTCAAACGTCTATCTGTTCCTTTCATGTGCTCAGATCCGATCTCGAGGTCACCGTGCCTACCCAAAACTGGGATCTTGAGCGCTCTCTCTCCCAGTAAAAAGGGGTTTGGAGTTACCATCATTTGGAGTTTAGGATGAGAATTACTAACATCCCGAGAAACAGGGGTTACAGTTCTCGACTCTTTAAGTACCAAGGTCTTGGGTCGCTGAGGTTTAAAAACATAAATCCAACGTTACCATTCATTAGAAAACAGGATCAGAGGTCGTAGTCACTTGCAAATGGGAAATGTAGGATAATTGTCTCCTAAGAGTACAAGAGTAAGATCACTGTACCCCCACTCGGAGGTAAGATCCACCACGAAAAGGGGATCTGCATTTACTCTCCTTTAGAGAATGAGAATTTGAACGGTATATCTCTTACAGGTCGGAATTTGGGGTTACGGTGCCACCAACGAACAAGGCCAGGTTGGAAACACGAGACCTGACATCACTGCCAACCCAAAATAGCTAGCGCTGAACCCCCAATGGTAGCCAGTAGTAGTTACTTAGAAATAAGAACAGATGGGGAGTCAGTGTACCTTCAAAACAAGTTCATCGTTCCTGTTCTTTAAAAGAAAAGAAAAACAAGGCTGGGGCGTATTATAGCAAAAATGAAATGAAGGCTGGGTCACAATGGATTTGAGGTTATACCTCTTTAATCATTCTGGGCTATGCTGTCGGTGGCTCTGGAAAAAACAGCAGTGTAGAATTATTTCCCTCCAAAAGAAGGTATCACTGGCCCCTGTAAGTGGATTTGGTTTGTCAGTTTCCTAAAGGAAAAGGGTCACTGTCTCCTGGGAATGGCCCCAAGGTTTGGTGCCATTCAGAGAATGGGATTTGGGAATATGAGCTACCCTTCAAAGGCCTGAGCCTGGAATAGCCCCCTCAGGACAGATATTGAGCTCACTGTCCTCACATCTGGTGCTGCTCTGGACCACACATATAAAGAAGTCAGGTCTGTGCCTGATCTAATGTGTTTGCGGGGGGGGGGGGGTAGCTATCCCCCCAAAATGGGGGTCAAGGCAATAGTCCATACCAGGAGAGCATGTTCATTTTTGTCACCAGGAGCCAGTGATGAAGTTACCAGTT